AAATTCCAGTGAAATATATTTATGTTTGTGGTTGTAATGTGACAAAATATGGAAAAGTTCAAGGGGTATGAATACTTTTGCAAACCACTGTAGGCACTGAGGTCCTGACATCAGTCTTTTCAGTCAGAACTGAAAGTTGTCTTACTTTTTGTGAGCAGGGAAGCAGTGTCCTCTGGGACTGCAATACAGGGAGTGTATCAGCTGCTGCCCAGAGTCCTGCAGCCTGGAGCGAACATGCATCGACAGCAAGCTGGCCTGCCTGGATGGATGCTACTGTCCTGCTGGTGCGGTCCTACACCATCACTTGTTTCTTTTAAACCAGAGGTTCCGGTGCAGTGGCACTGCAGGGGGAGCCCAGCACTAAATATAAAAGTGAATGTTTGGACACTGCTCAGGGAGTTGTTTGTGTTTTTTAAACCCATTTTGTCGGTGGGATGTGACGTCATGATTTTCAAAAGACTGTATTTTGGCTGAATACATGAAAATCATTCTGGAACCAGTTTTGGGTCAAATAGATCCACGTGGCTTCAGTCTTACCACCTAGGCTTCATACAGGTCACACTGTGGCAGTTTTATCTTGGATTGCTGGCTGACAAACCCATCCCATTAAATCAAAGAATTAGTGTTGGACAGGGTAAAAAAGTAACTTTTTAAAATTTTGTAACAGTGTTTTTTTTTTTTTTGAGAGGTTAAAATCCGAAACGATGTTTCTGCGCCTGTCTCCAGGTCTTATTTACGAGGATGGAAGTTGCGTGGCGCCTGCTGACTGTCCCTGTGAGTACCACGGCATGTTTTATCCCTCTGGACAAACGTTGCAGGAGGAATGCAACAACTGGTGAGTTATTATTAACTCCTCTCTCTTTCATCTCCTCTGCCTTCACATCCATTCTGCATCTTTAAACCGCTTAGATTTTTAGACTTTTATAGTCTTGGTAGACAGAAAAAAATGGCTACATTGAATTTGCATTTTTTTTTACCCGATTTACTTGATTTACAAACGATTTAATAAAGTAAGCTGAAACATACCGAGTTTTTAGTTTTATTTTATTATCACCCACTTCTGAAGGTGAAAAGGCTAAACTTTTGTGTGTTAGTAGCTGAGATAGAGAAAACTTTGGGTTTACATTCATACCTTTTTGAGTCACCCCAGTTCTAGACAGCTGCTCTAGCTAATTGGCTAATTGACATTAGCCAACACAAAAATAGCTACAACTTTAAAGTAGCTATACTACAGTTTACAGATACTGAGCTAATGTTTGGTGTGTTAATAACTGAGAGTCAGACTCAACACATCTTGCACAAGAGCTTGCCTACAGACCTACCTACCTGCCTGTATGCCTGCCTACCTACCTCTCAATCTGGTATTTTTTCTGCTTTTTTTTTCGTTTTACAAACCACTTTGATTCTTAAACCCTCCCTTTGCCTCACAGACACCTGTGAGATCATATTGAGCTACATTTTACCATTGCATCTGAAATGAGATACTGTATTTTCCTTTAATCTCCTCAGATCTGACCACCTGGACTCAGTGTGTTCAGTTTCTGTCAGTAATGCTGCTATTAGCTCAGCCTTTCATGTTCCCAGAACCACCTGATCCTGTCTCTGCTTTCTGTTTCAGCACATGTGTGGGTGGAGTGTGGAACTGTACTGACTACAGCTGCCCAGGTTGGTGCTTAAATAAGGTTTTTACTCCAACTGCACTGGAGGCTATGTTTGATGATAACTGCTCTTGTTTTTGGTCCAAATGTATAGACTGAAAAAGAAATATTCTTTTTAATCATCTAATATCTGTCAATGATTTATAATGGTCATGTTGGTCAAGAGTTACCAGCTTAAGCTCAGTGCTTCAGTGGGGTGTAGAATTATAAAGAAACCATAATGTTAAGAATTTTTCTCAGTTAAATTTAATTAAATTGTTTTAATTTCTTTAAAAGATAGGACAGGGGGTTCCATTTTTAAAAAAGGGGAAATAGAGAGTGTGTTCTGATTATCGTGGAATTTCTTGCCCCACATAGCCATAGTCCGCCCCATGCTAAGCTATGCTGATTTAGTGTGGTGGGTTCAAGTTCCAGCTGGGGTGGCAAGAGTGATGCTCACCCATGTGCAACGAATGGCCTGCCTGAGCATCACAGGTTCCATCAGAACAACACCCACGGCAGCCATGGAAGTCCTACTGGACCTGGCTCCACTAGATTTACATATCTTAGGGGAGGCTACATCCAGTACAGGCTATGCCAGTCTGGTAGGTGGAAAAACCTATCTGACTCACAGCACACAAGAATCTGGGACTGGGCAAGTTGCTGCTTTTCCAGTAACTGCAGAACCCGGAGACAGAATGGTCAAAAAATACAATTTTGAGCCAAGTTTTAAGACAGATATAGAAGATAGGTCTGTCTGGATTAACCTCTCTGACAGACATGTCTCCCAATCATTTCTACTGTTTTACAGACGGATCCCTTTTTATAATGGGGCCAGTAGGTGCAGGGGTGCTGATTCTGCACAACCATAGTGAGAGAGAGCATAAATACCCACTAGGTTGTTTTGCAACTGTATCTCAAGCTGAGATATATGCAATCCACCAGTGTGTGGCATCTCTCAAAGACCTTCAGTGTACACAGAAGGAAATATTCATCCTAACAGATGGCCAAGTTGCTATTAGAGCTCTCCGAGGGCCACACTTTACGTCATTACTGGCCTGGGAGTGTGCCGAAGCAGTCAACCAACTGGGGAGAGATAACAGTGTTACTGTTAAAAGGGTACCAGGACATACTGGCATCTATGGTAACGAGATAGCTGACTACCTCGCAAAAGCTGGGAGTCAGGCTCACTTCAAAGGACCAGGGGTCGGATTTATAAAACTGGTGTACGCACAATTTGAGCCCAGAAACTTGCGTACGCCACTTTTTACGCCAAGGTTATGATTTATAAAATCCAAACTTGACGTGAAAATGTGCGGTGCCTCACGCCAGCTCTGACACATGCGTACGCTCATTTTAGAGACGTGAAGCTGCGACACAGATGGTGAAGTGAGGAATTAGAGCCACACTGTGTAATGATCACTGTCAGATATTTAATTTACCTTCAGAATCAGACTTAAATAAAAGTTCCCGTGCGCAACTCCCTTCATCTGCTTCCTCCTCAGACGACCCTGACCCACACAGACCCCTCCCCGATAAGAACAGCGGGACAGCAAAAGCTTTGGATACACGCGCAGGGCGGTCCGTGTTTGTCACGCGCGCGTGGGGGGT